TTCTACAGTCAAAGACAGCTGATTTCCCCCTTTCCTTTTTTAGCTAATTAAGTATTTTCCATTTTTAGTCAGCAGAACTAAGACCCATTAAAGGATAACTGCTTAGCACTTCTGGTCATATTTGGAGTGCAGGGAGACTTCTGTTGATTTTATTAGAGGGTAGTGGCTTCTTATGCTGCAGCCAAAAGTGCCACTAAATCCAGAGAAATTTGATATATATTATTAAAAAGGAGAGTAGGTTTGTAGTAGGAGCAAGAGTAGTCTGAGTTGACTTCAGTTTATAGACACTGACATCTTGAGATTTTACGTGTAGCCCAAGACAGGAGATACCTGAATTCCTCCCTGGGGGGAAGCACATCTTTATCCAAAAAATCCAAGGAACCAAGGTGGGTCAGACTCTCTGGACTACAGTGAGTCCCATCTGACTTTCCTCCCTCTTCACAGGGTTCAACCCTTTTCCTGAGTAATTTACAACATTCAGCCCAAAGTCTGCTCCTAATAACATCAGTCTAAATGAAGAGCTTTGAGAATAGCAGAGTCTGCAAAGCAGTGAGCATCTCCTGGGTCATTGCCCGTGGTGGGACACTAAGAGGTGCCAGCAGATCAGGAGGAGTAAAGAGAGGTGGACCAAGGGCACCTGATAAAAGCCCATGTAGTTGGGGGAAACAGAGAGAAGATCAGCCAATGGCACATGCTGGTGGCACGTGTCCCCTGGGAGCACCTTTCTGGGGAGTGTTGCTACAACACCTGAGGCTGAGGATGCCCCAAATGGAACAACAGACCCTTTGAAAATCAATCAAGGTTTTCTTTGTCAACTTACCCTGCAAGCATAACATTTCATCTGGAATCAGTACATTTGCAGGGGGGCATTTGAATAACCAAGGTGTGGTGTAGGGATGCCTGAGGTGGAGAGAGTGAAGTAGCATGATCAGAAGCATCCTCTCTGTGATACTATTATTATTTATATTTATATTCATATAGCATCCAGTGGCAGAAGGTACTGCATTAAGTACTGCCCAAACACAGTAATGGCCCCTTCAGTTCTTATGTGAAGCCCATCTCCCTTTGGGCCTGGTTTGATAAGACTTGATAAGAGTGTCTAACTGATGTAGTTGACATGAAAAATTTCCATTTAATTGTCAGGAGACTGCTCCATGAATAGGGTTATCTGGATGATTGTTTTTGGGATTAAGAATTCTGTTTCTATTTGGCAGAGCTGAACCAAAAATAGCTTCCCCTGCTTTCCACATGGTATTTTAACAAACATGAGAGAGAAACTCATATTTTCAGTGGAGATTGCTTGTATATGGAAACACCAGGGCTATTTTAATCCTCAGCCCAACTTTTTTGATTTTGAGCATTTGGACTGTTTTGTCCTTAAGCCCCTTTCTCTGCACTGGCTCTACCAGAGGTAAGAACACATGGCTGTGATAACAAAAATGAGTCATTGGGTATCATCCGAGCCAAAGAGGAGCCTCTTAACACCCCTGTCCTAAGACAAATAATTAGGCAGGCTGCTGAGCCTGTGCATAGGGGTGAATGACCCTATTTTAGTGCAAAAGTGGCAGGGCTGAGAGCTGCAGCCAGAGGCAAGTTCTTCCCTTGTCTGCTGGGGGAGGTGTGAGGGGCATCACAAGTCAGGCTCTCCTGGTGCAAATGAAAGGCTCGATATGTTGCATCAGGCCAGCACTTGCACTGAAATAAAATCTCTCCTTGCAGGGCTGGAGCTGACATTTTGGCAGCTGAGGATACTGTAACTGACAGCAGAGACACTGGAGAGGTTGGTTTCTGCTGGCAGCTGGAGCAGACCCACCATGCCCAAGAGCTGCCATGGGGGCAGTGGGGCAAGGGGGGCAGGGTCCCACTGGCACCCACAGCTGTTGGCAAGTTTTATCACAGTGGTGCACCCCTCTGGTCCACACAGGGGGCAATGGGGTGCCAGAGGTGGGAGGCAGACTTTTAGAAAGCTGGACCCAACCAAAACCTCTCATTCCCATACCATTCAGCAGGGATGCCAGGCAAGGGGTGTGTGTGGAAGAGGCAGCTGGGTGCAATGGGGGAGCTGAGGACCAAAAGAGAAGGACCCTACCCTCTCTGCAAAGTGTGATGGCAGGCCCTGGATGAAGGTGCAGGAGCACTGGGTTACAGCACAAGTAAAATGAGCATCATTTCTCTCTGGTGCAGCTGGTGACAGTTAGCTCCCTGCCATGATGAACTGAGCCTTAAAGACACAACATTCCAGGTGCCTCCAGTTTTCACCTGCCCCCTGTGTCTGAGCTCACACCTGCACTTGTAAGGGGGGCTTTTTTTCCTCACTTTGCATCCAGGCTTGCAATTTTGCTGTCTGGTCAGACTGTCCTACCCCTCGAGCCATGCTGGCATCTGATCCATAGCTGTTGCCCTCTTGCCTCCACACTCAGTTCTGCTTCAACCTGTGTTTTGAGGACTGCCTGCTTTCCCAAGCTCTCCACCCACCAAAGCATTTTCCTCTACTGATATTGCTAACTTCATTGTCTCCCCAGAATATATCAAAGACTAGCGTCTTCCCACCTTTCTGCTTAGATCCCTTTTTGCCTTTCTGGCTTCTAGACAAGAAGATAGTTAGATGAAGGCCTGACCTTGGTAAAAGAAGAAAGGAAGGAACAGAAAGAAGGTTATAGCATAATTTTGGCTTACTTAATTTTTCTGAGCCTCCATCCTCATAAATAGAACAGACTCAGAAGGCAGGGAAAGGGTAGTTCTGCTTGCCTGTGGGTTGCTCATGTGTGTTAATGTTATGACCTTGTAAGAACCACTTATGAAATGCCTCTTGGTGTGTTTCCAGGGTGTTTCAAGGCTGTGCAGCACCATCTCAGTGCTGAGGGATGGAGTCAGTCTAATGTGGCTATGCTCGTGCTACCACCCTTGCAAATATGCTAGGGTCTGTTTCTGTCTCTGGGGCCAGTGTAGGGCATGGCTTGCCCACAAACAGCTGAAGTCTCTCAACTTCCCCTCCCTCGACTGGGTGTCCTTATCCAAATGTGCTTTAGGGACTCGATCCTAGCACAAGCACAAGTGTTGCTTGGGACATGGCACAGGATAAGGGTGTGCTAAGGCCCCTACTAGTGGTTAAACAGGGACCAGACAGCCCAAGTCCTGAGCACACTTTACCACCCACCTTGGATGTCCCCTTTGGTTTTAGTTTTGGTCTTTATTATTCTACTTTTTGAAAATATTTTTTATTTATGAACTATTGCATTTTAATTAACTTTTAATTCCTTGGGCTAGTATGTCACTATTTTGGGAGGGAGGGGGAGAAAGAAAAAGGAATTACTTGCTTCAGGGTTTTTTCTTGGTTATATCTGTCTCCATTTATTGTCCTACTCCTTAAGGCTGACTGGTGGTAATGGCTCTTAGCATGCTTTATAAATCATTCTGCAGAGGGCTTTGGGTGAGCATTTTATTTAATAAGTATGGAGAAGTGGGCTTTTATCCCTGCAAAAGAGGTGGCAAGTTCACTGTAGTTCCACTGGTTTACTGTATTTGAGGTGGAAGAAGTAATAGATGACTCAGATATATTGGTCTTACAGCAAGTTCCAATTGTATTACCTCCTCTTTGACTTGCCACTTGATCGATAGGAGCATCAAAGTTATTTACATTGAAAAACAGCACTTTGATCTAATAGCTCACAGGTAGCTGCTTGGAATGAATTTAAAAGCTCACTTTGAAGAGTTGTGCCAATCTGAGGACCCTAAGCAGCAATGCTCTTGAGCTTTGGAAGAAGGTGGATCTGCGTCCACATCCAAGTGCTGCAGCTCACCTCTACTACTAGACTGTGTGAGAGCAAATCCTGAGAGATGAGATTTCTTGCAGCAGGGAGGAAACAGGGTTCAGCTACTGGGATTTCAAAGAGAAATCTTTATTCAGACTGCTAGAAACTGGTGTCCCAGCTCCTTGTCTCCTGGCTACGTGGGATAACTACTTCTGTTACACAGGCTCCGAGTCCCAGCTGGGACCTCACTCTGGCTGCCAGGTCTGGCTACTTTGTTCAGACTTTGCATCAACAAATGTGGTTTATTTATAAAATGGTGACGCTCTGCAAAAAAGAGAGAGCACAACACTGGCCTACAGCAATTTAAAATCATCTGGAAATGAACCACATGTGGTCATCATGTGGATTTTGAATGATTGATTGATATGTGTGGATCACATTGAACCTACTTCATCCCAAAAAATGTCAGAAAAAGAGCTGCACATCTCAAGAAACCCTTCGCTATGATGTGCAAGTTCTTGGGTCTCAGTCACAGCTAGTCCAAGGACCAACCAGACTTTGGCTAAGCTTGCACCCAGATTATTTGTAGGTCATAGGAAATGTTTTCTTTCCAATCAGAGAAGATGAGCAGGAAGAACGCTGAAGAAATTTTGGTTCTAGCAAATGCACAACTGGACCCAGCAGCCCTGTGCATGTGAAGCACTGCTAGGCTTCAGAGGAAGGTGTGAAGAAATGGTGCTGTGGAGCCTTGGTGGTGGTCAGCACATACGTCGGCTTCATGACACCTCTTCTGCAGGCAGTCACACCTTTTTGTTTCTCAGTTTCAGTAGCTCTCTGTGTGGCTTGTATGAAGAAGTACTAAAGTCCTACCAAGTATAGACCTGTGCATCTTTCTTGTGAGAAATAACGAGAGAGCAGGTAGCCAAGCAGGCAGTTTTAACAGCGGTTGTCCCCCCATCTCCTTGATTTTCATCCTTGAAAGGCTGAAACTCAGGAGTAACATCCAATCTTGTAAAAGCCAAGCTGTTCTGTGTGCTCCTCTGGCATGGACATCCTCACTGCAATAGCTCACAGGGTTGGAATAAAGACAGAAATCCGCAGACCTTTTTTCCCCTAGAATACTCATCTGCCATGGAGCATCACAAGAAGTGAAATGCCCAACGATGCCTGAAATTCTTCTAAAGCACAGGGTGCTCCATCATACTTTGCAGATAACCATATTGGCTCTTTTTCTTTGTTTGCTCACAGGGTGTGTGCTTGTGGTCTCTGTAATTGAACAGCTTGCACAGTGGCACAACAGTACAGTAAAGGCAGCCGTGGAGAGGCTGTGTAACTACATACCTGGTAAGTATCAAATAATATGCCATACATTGTGTTGGTAGTGCTGTATTTCTCTTCTAATTAAAAATTCTCACATGGAGTCTGGAAAAGCTTTATTCACTTCCCATGCAGCATCTCAAATGAACACAGCTGAAAGACAGCAAGGTGCTACCTGCAGAAGTCTGTGGTGTGGCTCACTTGGCTTCAGAACTGGAATTTCAAGTTAGAGTGAACAGGGTCGTATTAAGCCCACACGCATGTAAGCACGAATGCACACAGACCCTTTCCCTCCCTTTTTCTCCACTTTGTTCCTTTGTTAGCATCTGAAGAATAGATTCCCTGTATGCCCAGGCACTCCTCTTTCTTGTTGATATGGGTCTTTACAACAACTGTGAAGATGAAAACGTGTTCAGCTCCTATTGTGAAATCAGCTAGGAAGCTGCTATTGTGAAATCTCAAAAATGAGCTGAGGTTGATGTGTGCAAGATGTGAGCCTTTGGTCTGCACAGAAAAGCTATTGAAATGTAACTGATGATAAAAATTTCAAAAGTGATAGTTGTTCCATATTAATATGTATAGACTCCCCTTTTTCTGCCCCTTTTTTTGTCTGTCCAAAGGAGTTTGGCTGTCTGAATGCACATCCCTAGGTAGAGAACAGCTTGAATGCCAGAATAGCTTTGTGGCTCACTGACCAATCCTATAACTATTTAAGTAACTAGATCTCACATTTCTGATATCTTTTTAACATTATGAATGTAAAAAGCTGGCTTAGGATTCTTCATTAAAAAATAATTTATATAAGACTTCACAAATTGTATCTCTGAGAAACCATCTTGCTCTGTAGACTCTAGTCTCACAGAAGATGCATGTAGAATATTAATTCCATCCTTTCCAAGAGGATATTTCCTGATGCAGGATGGGGCAGGGAGGTAATTGCTGGGATTTATTCATTGATAGAATGATGCTTATCTGATTTCTATTCCATAAGTCATATCCTCAGTGTTATAAATTGCAAGCACATAACCATGAAGTTACAATTAGAAGCACTGATCCTGCTATTAAAATACCATTTTCTTCTTTAAAATATGACTTGCTAGCTCTATGTTCATGATTCACTCAGTGGACCTTGTTCCACTGACATGTCAAGTCACTTCTTTTCAGCTGCCATTCTTTACACACACAAAATCTTATTATCCCTTTAGTTAAATCTGTATAATCCAGTTACTTTCTATGAGATGCATGGATACACCCAATAGAAAAAAAATTGACCCTGAACTTGTAAGGAATGAAAAATCCTATGGATTGTGCGGGACCTACAGTGTAACCCATTTTATCCTCTCCTGGGAGGTGAATGCTGCAGCACAGCAGGAGTCAGCAGCTTCCTCTTGCTCCTTGAAACAACAGACAAGCTTTGGATGCTTATGAGGAGCAAACCTACTAAAGCAGGCTGTGCCCTTTCACCTGAAAGAACAACTTCATTGTCATACACAACCCTACTATTAATGCAAGAGTAACAGCAACAAATTAAAGGCAACAAGGCTTTTCCCAAGGCCAAAAAAGGAGTAAGAATTCATGTGTGTTTTAAAAAGGGCCTCCTATAATTTCAACTGCAATCAGGTCACGACTGGATCAAGCCTTTAGTGAAGTTAGATGATGTTCAAGAACAAACATTTAGAGAAAAAGAAGAAAACTAAATACCTGTCAATCCTACCCAATCCCATGGGCTGTGTAGAAAATACAATCACATCCTTATTTATATGGAAATACTTGCAATGTGTGTGATTCAAGTGACACATCCAACAATCCTATGCAAATAAGAACAGCAACACCATGACTGAAAGAGGCTCTTGAGCAGGCAGAAATGCCAGGTGTACAGAAACGGGAAGTATTTACAGTGTAAGAGATGTTGATAGCAAGAATGTCTATTTACCTGGATACTGGCTGTCTGCCTGATGAGGCAGAGGTGTCTGATACCCAAAATGTGTTTTGAGACCATCTGCCTCCAGCATTGCCTCTGAGTCATGCTCTGCTTCTGTGTCAGCCACTGCTGCATAAACACCTTAGAGCTCAAATGGAAATGGCAACATGATTAATACCATCTTTCTTGCAAATATTTATCCTCTGGTATTCAGCCAGACTTTGTGCTTCTAGGACTATGAAGCTATCGAGGAGAACCATCCAGATTTTTATCATGGAAGAACAGGGCAGTTTAGGGAATCTGTTTTACCTAAAGCAGGACAAAAGGAAGGATAGTCTAAATTTTCTCTAAATTTTCCAGCATTTAGTTTTGCTCAAGCTTCTCTCTTGCCCCTTTACACTCAAATTGTTAATAATCTTCTTTCTCTCTCTCTTCACCTCATTTTTTACTTATGCAGTTTCTTCCTAACAAATCTTTCTCTCCATGAGATCCTCTCTTTGTGCGTGATAGCAGAGCTACAGATGGTTTGGGAAACCTATAAGGAGACCATCACCTGCAATGCACCGAGGAGGTGCTGGGAAAGACAGTCACCCTCTTCTGCCAGCTACTATGGAGACAAGTGCCTTGCTGGCAAGCCTCATCACAGGGTGTTTTAATGAGCAGTGATACCAAATGCAGGGTTATCGATGTCTGCAATGTTTTTTTCCTTTAGGTGAACAAGAATAAAATCTAATTCTAGCCAAGAGACCAATTTTTAACTTGCAGATTGCTTCTGAAGAGCCAACAGAGAGGAGTTATGTGGCAAAGGAGGCAAAGAAATGAAGCTTGAAACTTGATTGAAATAAAACACCTGGCATGGGATAAGAAAAATCAGCTATCGTAGTTATAGGAGCTGCCTGCAGCACTGTATGAGTACGAGGATGTTGGGGAAATTATCTTTTCATTCCCTGCTATGACTTTCTGGTCGCAGTCCTCCTTTCTTAGTTGCCATCTGGGGTGTCTGCAGTTCTGGAAGGAGATCAGCCACCTTCACCTGCTCTTACAGGAATGAGAGCACACCTGATGATAGAGTCAGTGTTGTGAGGTTTTTTACCCTCTCCGGACCAAAACTACCTGTCTTGTATGCAACAGACCCTGCCTGGCCCAGGGCTTGTCCAGCATGATGGTAGTTAAAATTGAATATTCGGCCCAAAGTTGGAGGGAAGTGGCTGTTCTGGGAATTTCTAAGCCTTTTCTTTAGGAAAGATGAGGATAGCTATCTGTCTGGGTAATGGAGGTACAAGAGAAAATGACATCTCTCAGGAATTTCAAGAGCTGCAAGTTTGTCATTGCCACACTTGTGAGAACCTGCCTGTTCATCACCTTTCACAACACTAACCCTGCTGAAACAAGGCCTCACACCTCCTTTGCAGGAAATGTACATGGTTAACCAGCTATCATCTGTTCAGGCCAATAAACAGTCTGTTTTTCTTCATGGGAATGATCAGATCAGTGCTACCATCATGCCCTACCTGTATTGAAACTTCCAATCTCTCCCATGTCTTTGCTTGGATGAGGGGACTAATTTTTTTTACAACAGTGTCTTAAAGAAATCTCCAGTGAGCTGTCTTCTGGAGGGCATGGAGGGCATACTTCACCCAGATTAAAGCAAGCCACCTGAGACATGATCCCAAAAAGGCAAATGGCTGCACACTGTGAAAGGAAGCTAAATGAAAAGTGTCAAATATTTGTTTGAGCGCAATTACTCCTGCACATCACCTGCTCCACACAAAACATACTCTCTTAACTCACAGAAAACCCCAGAAGCTCTGAGGCAGCTCTAGCAGTGGCAGCAAGCCCTGCATCACTTTCTGCACTTTGATTTATGTATTTGTTTTCTTCTCGCAAACTGACTGAGCTCTTTGTTTAAACTGCTTAGAAGATGCTGGAGCATGTGTGATTTCTTTTGATTTTTCTGAGGCCTTACTCAGACTATTTAAAAAATGCTACTTACCTGTTTTGGCCTTCCTTTATCGTGTGGTTTGTCTAAAGCCTTATGTACTGACATAGGGTAGAAATCCAGGTTTTCCTATTCTCCAGTGCTAAGCTGAAGTCATGCGCCTTCCTCTAAGAAAAATCAGCATTCACCTTAATAAACCAACTCCTGCTGTGTTTTGACTGTTATAAAAGCTGTTTCTCTATGCTCAATTACTTAAAAAAATTATGTTTTCTAGAAAAACTGCAAGGTGTCTGCTACGTACTTGCTGAACTTTATGGACCATATATAGCTGAACTGTAAGTACTGTTGTGTGCTCTCAGGTCTTTGCTTAGTTTGTCCTTGACATGCATGGATTGAGGTGTAGGGGGTTTATTCTTAAAAATCACATTGTTATTAAAGCAGAGATGCTTGAGAGTGATTCTGGTTTAGCATTTGGCATAACTATTCCTGTGTGAATAAACACTGGCTGCCACTGGGAACCATTTTCATATTCCCTTTGAATCTCAGATCAGGCCCACCCAATGTAATTACCTTTTGAAATTAAGCTCGTTTGGCTGAGGGAGGAATTTGAATAACCCATGTGCGTGAGACAGGTTCTATAGAGTCATATGCTACTGTAATACTTGGCTCTTGCTTTCCCTTCTGCCTTCAATCAAGCTTTCTAATTCTCAGCCCCAACATGCTCTCAGCCCTGGCCCTGATACATGCTCTTGGGGAAGTCTAATAAGTAATGTAAAGTGATTTTTAAAAAATGTCATTTTTTTTCCTCTTTGAAAGTTCTTAGTTTAATTAACAGAGCTTTTGCCAAATCTCCTTCCTCCCCAGGGTTTTTATTTTTATTTATAAAACTAGTCAAGGGACTGCAAAGTGCTTACAGGACTAAGAATGGCTATAATAAAATATTTTAATTTAATTCCTGATTAGCCTAGAGGTGTGTCCCAAAAAGAAAGAAACAATCATAGCCCTTGTGCTTGGTGATGAACAGTGAAGGATATTTGAAGGATTCCTGGTTATTTTCTTGAGTTAATGATTGAACATTCATATGTGCCAAATTGCATATGCATTAACTTTAACCTTTAAATCTTTGTCAGACTTATGATTGATTAAAAAACAGAACAGTCATAATGTATTTGACTCAGGTGCTGCATATAAAGCATGGTGCTTTTTCATCATCCTGGGATCCAATTTTAAAAGCTGAATAGGATGCAGTGGCAGAAAATCGTTAGGACCCGAATCTGTACTGAGCAGCAATTATGGGCCACAGTGAAGCAGGCTGAGGTTATTGTCTGGCTTTTGGGAGATTTAGCTTCCCATGGAAATCACTTCTACTTTCAAGCACCCAGAAGAACACAATGGTCTTTGTTTTCATGCCATTTTCTTCAGCATAGACAGGGAAATGAATGCCGATGTGGTCTGCCATTCCTTGAAGCTGTGTAAACAGGATCCAGGACAACCACTTTGTCATCTTTACCCTCCTCCAAAGGTGAGTTGGTTTTCCACTTTTTTCAAAGCCACAGATTGTGGGAGGTCTTTTAAGCTGGAACTGAATAGTACACAGGCTTCGAGTGCACATGTATGGCCTGAGGAACAAACATAAATGTTTTGAGCATGAACACTTTTAGAAAAAGCCTGTTTGAAAGAAAGGCACATAAGATGCTTTAGCTGTGTGGAGCACCAAAAACATGGTTGAGGGAGACTAGAAATTACAGACCCAAATTCTCTTCTACTGGTCTGGGTCAGAGAAGAAGAATGGGGAAAAGAAAATTTCACTTTCTCCAGATTTTATTGATAAGCAGAAAAATAACCCCAAACCAGATACTCAGTTGAGGTTCATCTATGCCACCATTTTGCCACAGGTAACATGTATAGGTATAACCACAAGTTATCCCCATGTTTCATGATTTACTGTGTAGCAACCTGTCTAGAGTCTAGTTACACACTACAAAAGCAGGGCTGTTCAGCTTGGCTTAATCTGCAGTGCAGGAAGTTTAAGCTGATGTGCATAGCCTTTTGCTGCAGGCTGGAAACATATTTGGTTACCCCTGTTTTTGTGATGCAGTTACTTGCTGCCCCCTGGTAACTTGATTGCATGTCGTCCCACTTTGCTACTCAGCCACATACACATCTGCATGGGTGCTTAAATAGTTATCGTTTGTTCCAGATATTTTTTTTTCCTGGTTTTGTGTTTGGGTTTTTTGTTTGTTTGTTGTTGTTTGGTTGTTTTTTCCAGCCATCATGCAGCCTTGGTCACTTTAAGATCTGTGAGTAATTGTGGTTTGTTTGGCAGTGTAAAAAAGCAAGTGATTCACTTAGGCATCTATTTTAAAAAATCTTTTCCCCTGCACCTGAATGGGTAGTGACCTGTTTGATTTCAGAAGGTTTGCCCAGGATGCTTTACATGGGGTCTGATCCAACGGCCATTGAAAACAGTCAGAGCCTTTTTGTGGGCTTTGTTGAGCATCTCCAAGATGGATTTAGTTTTTCCAATATTAAGACCCGGAGAAACACTTGCTTTCCAATAATGGCAGTAAAATTTGTGTGTCCCATATGACACACAGGTCCTAGATGTGTGTCCCATATGATTACTATGCTCCATGCTATGCCAACATGGAGATCTATGGGTGTGCAACCCATAGAAGGTTGTGAAAGATGAGTGCAGGCAGCAGAGAGGGCCCACACTAACTTGGCTCAACCAGGATGTTGCCCAAACATCATCAGTCAGATTCCTTCAGAAATTCTGTGTCTGAAAACAGAATTTACACCTAGGTGGCTCCCCTGCAGAAATTAGAAGATCTTTGGTGAAATGCTTGGCATATCAATCAGAGGAAACAGGCTGCCACTCATGAGGTTGCTGTCAAATCTTTGGTTAGTTCTTCCCATCTCTCAAAGCAGGTATCAGATCAAGCTGTTGACTTCTTCCACCTCCAGCAACAGCTCCAGAATCTGCACTTTCTGCAAGGAAAACAACTAAAGATGTGGGGGTTTTTCAGTTTTGTTTTTTAAACAAAATTTGGAGTCTCACTTGCATGGCCTGTAGACTGTCCCCCTGAGTGGGTGGCTCAAGCAAACCTTCCCCTCTTCCAAGTTGTAGTTAAATCCCTTTCTGTCACCAGAAATAAGGGAACTCCACCAACAAAACGATGTTTCTGCCCTAACTATGCCCTTCTTTTTAGCTTACCATGTGCCCTGAGGCATCATGAGGAGGCTGCAGGAGATGGGAGGAGAAGAGCAGTGCTTAGAGTTAATGCTCAAGTGGTTGATAAATTGCCCACAGTAACTCTGTGACAAGCCAGACTGAGTAAAGATGAATTATGGGTGAAACGAATTAATATTCAGTCAGAGACACAGATGCATAAAATGCAGTTTACTTCACATTTGTTTCTTTGGTTTGTAATTTGATTGATCACTTCAGTTATATGAGCCTCCAAACATTGGCTCAGTCCTCTGCCAAGTGTTTGAACAAGACTATAATACTAATGACTGTTTTGTTCAACGCTATTGATTTTCAGGTACTTTGTTTATTCATTTAGACTTTTGGATGCCCATTTTCCCAGAATTAGTATCATATTTGTATTGGCAAAAGGAGTAAAATAAACAGAGTTACTTGCCTTTATAAAGCAGTATAATGTTCAAGTTTTAATTGACTTTAAGGAGGCAAATAACCACATGTAGCTGCTTTTTCAGTCAATAGTTTATTTTGTTCTGTTTCTGTGATGTTGCTGGAGTGAGATCTTCTGTTTGAAGGGAGGAAGAGCCCCAGCTTCAGAGGCCTTGCAAACTATCTACATAAAGGAGACACTACAAGCCAAGTGTGTTGTATTACATACTTCCCTGGTCTCTGACAAATTAGCCCAAATTAATTTTTTTGCTAACCTGCCTGGAGCCATTAGCACTCTGCAATTATTCTAGGAGACTTGGCTCTAATTATGAATAAAATATACGGCTCCGTTCGCACAGAGCACGATGCTCTCAGTGCGGAGCTGGAGGAGGAGAGCATCTAAGCTGGGGAAGGGTGGTTTCATTGTGGGGACTCCCCCGGGGCTTGGGCAAGGTGGGGAGTTCCAGGAGTGGGCCCCTGATGTTGGTGGGGAAGAGTGGAAGGAGCACTGGTGGCTCCTGCATGCAGGTGTCACTCAGTGGGGTCCTGGGAGTGCCTAAGGGCTGGTAGAACAGAGCCCAGACCTGGACTGGAAGTGCAGGTTGATGTACATGCATAGGGTCTCCTGCTGCATGTTTCTTGCTCAACGAGAGGTTCTCCTCTACCCTTAGTATGAGGGTAGCAACACTAGGGACCCCTTCAAGTCAGGAGGCGAAATACTATGATACATAGGAAGTGTAGGCTTACCACTGGCAGCTGAAAACTGGCCAGCATCTGAAGCTGCTGTAATATGCCTTGTGGTTTAAGCTACAGCAACAGCATATACTCTGGTATTGACTGCAGCAACCCTCCAAAACACTGACAGTGGGTACAGGTATCCAAACTAGCTGGTTTGGGATGACTTGGATATTTGTTTTAGTCAAAAAAAGTTGATCAGCCCACAAGGAGGAGGATTTTCTGCACCAGGTCCTGTGATAGAGAGATGCTCCTCTAGTGAGCTAAAAGGGCTGAAATAGGGTGAGGGGTTTTAGGCACTACCTACCAAGGTCCTGTTCTGGCCCCAGGAGTGAGCAGATTTGTTGGAGATTATTCTCAGCTTGTCTCTAGATTGTTTTAAGCCAACTGGCCCATTCAGTTAAATGGCAATACTTTAATTGATTTTATTTGGGCCAGAATAATGGCTCAACTTCAGCCCTGGAGTCCTACTACTGGCAGTCATAAATGGTCTGTATTGCACAGAGCTTGTAAACTTATTTTTGCCTTTCACAGAGGCTCTTCTGCTCCCCATCACTTTTCTGCTCCATATTATTAGAGATATTTTGGCTGCAGATTTTAGTTTAATCTCCAGTAGCAGAATTTTGCTGGGAGTAATCTTACATCAGAAAAAAACCGTATATATTTATGCTAATGTCATTTTATCTTACAAAAACAAGCTGCATTGCCACAAGCAGTGATGCTGTTTGACGTCCCCTCTATCAGGCCTTTCACTGACTTGGTAGAAAGCAAAAGTCACATCCCTCATGGACATGACTGCTGCCAGCCTGCTCTTTGACAAAGAAGGAGCCAACCAGATCTGGCTAGAAAAAAAGCAACCCTTTGGGGTTTCATAAAATATAAACACTCCCACTAATTTCCCTCTCTCTTGCAGTGAAAATGTGAGCTGCTTCCTGGGAGCTGAGGCAGAACCAGACTCTGGGGCAGGAGTGCTTCTGCACTCCCAGTAAGAGCAAGCTGCCAGCCAAGGCAAACCTTGGGACTGGGACCTGTGTCCTTCTTTTGAGATCACAGACCATAAAGCAAACACAGGAGCCAGGCTAGGTCCTGGGGAGCAAGATGCCATCCTTTTAGCCTTTCTTTTTGTAAACAGGCAGAATCTACTGAAATGGTAGTTGTTTCTGCCACAGTCAGAACTGAACCCTGAAGTAACCTGTAGACGAATGATAGCAGAAGCACAGTTTGAGTACTACTTCTTCCTCTTTCACTTGTTTCTTACAGTTTTCCCTGCTCCTCTTCATTGGCAGAAAAAAAAAAATAATATGCAGAAGAGGGTCATGAAGATGATCAGAGGACTGGAGCACCTCTTCTGGGAAAACAGGCTGAGACATTTGGGGTTGTTCAGCCTGGAGAAGAGAAGGCTCGAGGCAGACCTTATAGTGGCCTTCCAGTACCCAAGGGGCTACAGGAAAGCTGAGGAGGGGCTTTTTACAAGGGCTTGCAGTGATAGGACGAGGGGTAATGGCTGTAAACTGGACGAAGGTGGATTTAGGTTAGATACTAGGAAGAAATTTTTTGGTGTCAGGGTGGTGAGACACTGGAACAGGTTGCCCAGGGAAGTTGTGGATGCCCCATCCCTGGAAGTGTTCAAGGCCAGGTTGGATGGGGCTCTGAACAAGCCGGTCTAGTGGGAGGTGTCCCTGCCCGTGGCAGGTGGGTTAAAACCAGATGATCTTTAAGGTCCCTTCCAACCCCAACCATTCCATCATTCTATGAAAAACAGAGCAAAACAAAACGTCCAAACAAAACCAAAACTAACCAAAGAAACAAACCACACAGCCCCAGCCTTCCACCAAATAAACCTAAATCTAAAGAGAACTGGTTGCCGTGGGTTTTGCAAGGTGCTGCATGCAACTGTGTCATAGCAATGCAGGAGCTGTCCCAGGCAGGACTGCTGAAAACAAGTCTTGGGCAACCCAGAGGCAGAGCAGCATTTGGGATGGGAGGCTGGCAGCCAGCAGTGTGAGGATAAGGAAGTGTTGCTCCTGGGTGTTGACTGTGTTTTGCAAAGGCAAGCTAGAAAAAGTAAATTAAAATGTTTCCCCTAGAGCACACAGAGTCCAAATCCAAAACAAACATGTGATGCAAAACGAGCAGGAGTCAGAGTAATTGCTCTGGAGGTAGAAAGGACCGAGTCAGGCTTTGGGTGTTTAAGATCTGGTCTTGCAGACAAAGTCCATCCCTATTTTGCATCCAGAGCACATATGTGGTCTTGCTGTCTTGTGCCATTGTAAAGATTCCCCCCGTCCATCCCTATTTTGCATCCAGAGCACATATTATGTGGTATTGCTGTCCTGTGCCATTGTAAAGATTCCTCCTCAGCGTCTGCAGGATGAAAGGTGGGAGTTGTAGAACACATTCCAGTGTTGCCAGTGCTGTTTAGCAAGCTCTGCAGCATTTTGGTACCTTGGTATGAACCATCTTGGTAAAAGGATGATGAAAATTATTTAGAAGGGAAACTGTTGGAGTGTTTTGTAAATATCCACTCTCCTAGGAAAGACCTGACCAATAAGGATGATAAATGAAAGACAATTAAAGTTGGTTCATGCATTTTGTTTATTATGAGAAATAGATCTGTTTGTGAAAAATTCATTACTGGGAACACATGGGGTCTGTGGAGACCACTGAAAGAAAGCAGTGAATTAAATCCCAGTCACACCTCTGACCAGAGCCCCATCCGTGGCATGGATATCTTGTGTAGTGTGTGGATTTGTGCAGATGGAGCTGGTTGCTTCCCGGGACCTCCGCTCACCCTTGGGGCAGAGCTGCGTGTTTGCCCACCAGCTGCTGGCAACCAGGGAGCCCCTTTCTCGGTGGTGTTTTGATGCCATGGGAAAGGCAGGAGGCTGTTTGCCAGTTCAGGTGCAGCAAGATGAGTGCTTCAGCTGCCAGTCCTCCACAGCCCACCCTGGAGTCCTGGCTGACTGAAGTAACTTCTGTAGTGGGAGGAGCTCTCAGCATTCCAGAGAGCCTTTTTCTACACAGAGGGGCAGCTCAGGCTTCCCTCCCTTGTTGTCTGCTTTCTGTGTGCACTATGGCTGTAGTTGTCTGAAATCCTTGCTTCTCATGCACTGCTGCTGAGAGCAAGAAAGGTTTCTCCTCTCCTGCCCAGCAGAAAGGGATTGATGAATCTTGCCTCTGGGATTTTGTATGCATCATACTAAACTTTAAGCCATTTTCCTCATCAGAGTCTTGAGTTATTTTATAGCAAAACTGACAGCAGCTGGTGGGGTACAACACAACTGTAGCAAATGCAAGGGGCATATTTGCTTCTGGGGACACCAGTCGCCCAGGGAGAAGAAACTAGGAAGCAGTGTCTTGGCTCCTTCCTAACTTCTCTCATCTGTTTGTGGCATATCCAGCTTTTTCTAAGACTATAGACACAATGAATTTAAGAGATATTAAACACATATATTAATGTGACACATATATTAAAAAATAATAACTTTAAAGTCTATGTTCCTTGCAGCTTATTCTAACTCTTCCTTATCCCTTTATGTTTTTCACTATAAAGTTTTGACCCTTGAATATCACAGTTAATTAATTTGCTTTGATCACTGCTTAAATCAATTAAAATGACATGCTAAGTTTTATCCCTAGCTTAAAAATGTTGGTAATGGTTGCTTTAAATGCAAATATATGCTGTTTTAATATTCCAAGCTGGCAGGCCCTCTGTTCAGTAAGGTGCCATCACTCATGGGATATTTTCTTTTTTTCCAAATGCTTAAATACTGCCACTTGGTGAAGCATAATTCTTTTCCCTCATATTGAGTTCCTGTAGCTCCAGCCAGATAAATATAAACTTGTGCTGAACTTTACCTCAGAGCCCTCAGACCCTGTTGGTGTGAAGCTGGTGGTTGTGTCCTCAGGGCGGGCTGTAGGAGGGACTGATGGCAGGTCATTGTCAGGCAGAACAGTGTGTCCTAGCTAATCATTTTGATCAGAAACAAAGTGCTAACATACTTGTGATGCACCATTTGAAGCATTATTTTCATGTTGTTCATTTTTTTTTCTATTTTATTTTTTAATGATCCTTAAAGCCTACAGAAGAAAAGCAGCAATTCCTTCTGAAAGTGAGCAAATGGACAGTGTTTCTGTCTTTCTTCATGCTGAATGCTGAGGGGAAGGGCAGAGGCCAATCACACAAATACTGCCTCACAGATATGGCTGTTTGCAAAGGTGGCCTAATAAAAGCTGGAGGACATCAGAAACAGTCTCTGCTTGATCCCTGTGCCTGAGCATTCAGCCAACTTGTGCCCAGGGCTCTGAATCAGGTGGGCTGCAAAAATGTAGAGGAAGGCTTGAGAGCAGGACCTCAGCAGTGCTTGGCAGATACTGGCCATGGCAAGTGGCTGTCACTGTGTGTTTGACCGCAGGCCTGCTCCGGTACCCATGGAATGTCCCTCCTGCTGCCCACAGTGCTGGTCCCTGGCTGTCACTCACAGTTGGTGCCCCCTTGCACAAAATTTCCTGTCCTCCTTTGAGGACCATGCATGTAAAGGGGAAGGCATTTGGGGAATTGTTAGGACAGCACTAGTAGTCCTAACCCATGGCCTGATGATGGCCAGTCTGTTCTCCTTTGATAAGGATGCCCTTCCAAGGTCTTCTCTTGCAATGGTCCTTTTTATTTAGGTAGAAGTACCTCATTTTGAAAGAATCTCCTAACGCTTTTTCAGCACGAATTTGCATGAACCCTGGAGACTTTCAAGACCCATCTGGATGTGTTCCTGTGTGATCTGCCCTAGGTGTTCCTGCTGCAGCAGGGGGGTTTGACTCAATGATCTTCAGAAGTCCCTTCCAACCCCTATGATTGTATGATAGAAAAACAGTCTTGCCACTCTCTGCCAGAACTTGCCCTCAAGGGCAGGTATTTCCAGGATAAAAAGATAACCTTCCTGGATCCCAAGCAAGAGAGCTGCCTACCAAACTCCATTCCCTGCTTAGTACCTTCCCATGTGCCAGCTGTTCCCCTGCTGAGAGGAACATCTTTCAAGAATAACCCTTATCCACGCAGGACCCAGTGTTTCCTCTTTACCCTTCCACAGCAAGTCAGACCAGCATCACACACATAACTCTCTTTTGCCTGAAGTTACAAGGAAGATGGAAGGAAAAATGCAGGAGCAGCCTGTGCTCTGCAGCTCATGCAGTGCAGTCAGGATATGAATCTCAGCTCTTTAACTGATCTGGACCTTTTCTTAGGAAATAAATGATGCCCTGGAGCAAAATGAATGAACTCTTGCAACTGGAGTCTCATAGAGGGTGATCAGATAATTGATTGTTAGTCCAATAAAAAGTAACTGATGATGAGTTCATGGACTCATACATCATTTTTGTGCTGCAACTGATATATTTTTTTTAAAAAGGTGGAAAAGGGGGAGAAAAACTGGAAGAAAAACTGGGAGAATATTGTGAGGCTGATTTGGTTTTGTTTTGTTCTTGCTTTCCCAGGTGGGGCTGAGTACTGCAATAAGGAAGGCAAAAAGGATTATGAAGACTGCCAAGGATCTGGTAAGAAATCAGTGGCATTTAAGTGTTTTACACTGCACTTGCATTTTAGCAGGAGTGACTCGCTGTTAAATTTGCCTCGTGAACCCGCCTGATCATCATTTAATTGAATGCTGACTCAATACTACCCTGTGTAGGATCTGCTTTATTAGGTGATAGTGGGAAAAGGGAGAGGGAGATAATAGAGAGGAAATATGGAAGTATGGAGAGAGCAGAAATAAAGACCTCATTAAAAATTCAGACTGCTTATAAAGTAGGAATATCTGTCTATATCCATCCAAGACACACATTTGTGGCTGAAATTCATGCAGCAGCTGAGGATATAATCTGTGAGTGCTGTAGTGCAGCCCCATGCTGAGACACTCACTTGTACTAGACCAACTCACCTTTGGTGGGGCAGCAAGCCCTAACACAAAACACAAGCAGATTGAGATTTTGTTCAGAATTTTTTACAAAAACAGGAATTTCACAGTTACCCTTGCCCCATGCTTTTCCGTCCAGAAATCTCTCTTCATCTCTGCCTCCCTTCCTTCTCATCCCTGCCTTGCTCCTGTAGCCATATGTGGGAGGGAGCCTCATCAACCAAGCCACTGCCTCAGACCTCAGTGACTGCACTTTGGGCTTTTCAGAAACTCCAGCAATGGCCTGAATGCAAATTCTGCAGGTTTTCCCTTTATTTTTGAGATGTTGCTTTTGCTTCTCAACTTGAAAACTGTAATTTGAAATCCTTCTGCCTCACACAGTTTTCAGAAGTATAGAGGACCCTTAAAGGATAGCAGGGAAGGGCAGCTTTTATTCTGCTGGGTTCCCTTAAATGAGTCAGCTCAGCCATAGAGTTTGCTTCCAGTTGTCTTCAGGCACTTAATGCAGAGCAAATGTTTTTGCTGTTTCTGAAGAAATTATTGATATTGCTTCTTCCTGAGTACTCACTGTGATGCTACTAACAAAAGTGAAAATTGAGGTGCCTAATTAGCCTTTGGGCAATTGCCAAATTGCTAAGCCAGGGAAATAAACGATGCACTGGAGAGACAGGTCTTGGCTCCTGCAGAACAACAACCAGCAGGATCTTGTTCATTTTCCTTCCTATTCAGCTGTGCTACTGATGGCCTGAGATTTCTGGTCCAATCACAGGAAATTTCTAATCCCCTTTCCCCGGGTGCAAGTCCCCATGTTAAGAGCTGCAGCAAGATACTCTGAGTTGAGGGTGTCCTCTCTGTTAGCCTGAGCCTGGACACAGGTGTGAGGATGAAGAGGGACCTGTGTGCAGCTGCTGCCTCCCAGGACACATTGCTCCTTCGCTCCCTCATGTGTGCTTTTACCCTTTGGCATAACAAGCTGGGTCCCTTGCATGGCCAGCCTCATCTGGCCTCTGAGGTCCATGCATACCATGTCCTTTCAGGCTCTCCTGGGCAGGGCGCCACGGTTGGCATCAGTCTTTGGGTGTAGTGGAGTCTCCTTCCAGCTTGCTCTCATATCCTCAAAGTTACTTGATGCCCTGAGGCCCTCCCTTGCCCCCTCTCGCAGTGTCCTTGGCCTCTTCCTGCTCTTACTTGCCCATGTAGCAGTAGGAGGGATGAGCAGACTGTGCCTGAGCTAGAAGTAGCAAGGCCTTGGTTATAGTTGGGTTTCTCCAGTCAAGTGTTTCTAAACCCATGATACAAGGTCAGTTCAAATAAAAACAAGGATCATATAGTTCCTTGAGATTCTCCTGCAGTTATTTCTAACATGTTCCCTGTAATAACCCTGGCTGAAACATATTTTAAAGCTAGAAATTGAACATTTCTAGAGGCATTACTGTCTCTTGCGGTGTCCCCTTTAGCTGGGTTGTGGTTAATTCCATTTCAAATCCTGAAAAAACAATATGGTAGGAAACACAAAGGAAGATGTCCAGGAGAAAGCACAGCATGTATCTCACCTGTGTAAGCCCCATATCCCAGAGTGGCAGTTTGTGATTAAATGGTAAGATCAGCAGCACAAACTGAATGCTCCTAAGCCATGATCTGTTCACCTGCCCAGGAACATACATGTGCCAGTGAGCAAGGGCAAAAGCAGCTGCAGTGTTCCTGCTGCTTGGGGAGAGGGTTGCCTGGCTGAATGTGGGAATGAGGATCCAGGAATGCACTGTGTGTTGCAGGACATCTCTGCATCCACAGTGGCGGAGATAGAAAAACACTTGTCTGACCCCTTTTGTGCTCTGGCTCATGCTGAACAGGAACATCGAATTATACATTCTCATTCTTCCCTTATCTGCTAATTTGGTTGCTTTTGCCCCATTGCATATTTGTGAAAAGACTTCTGAAGAGGTTATTGCAAGTTAGATGTCCCCATCTTTGCTTGGCAGCTGTGTATGACTGTGCATAAAAAAGAGACATGATTATGGCTGTTGGTAATGAGAATGGGAGGTCTGGCTGGCTTCCAGGGAGGTTGTATTTACTGGGTATTTCTTAAGATCTTTGTGGATTTGGGAAAAAGAAAAGGTATTTTCCAGATGTAGAGATGCAGTGAAAGTGGCTACGTTCACCCCCCCGCACCCCAATCTAATAAATGTTTCCATTCATTAAAAGTAGTGAGCCATCTGTGAGGGACCGGCTTAAACCAAACACCAACAACCATTAGGGGCTCATTATTATTCTTTTTTTGTAAAACCAATTAAAATAATTATGGAAATGTCATTAGGGAATGTTAATGGGCAATGAATAAATATTGGTGTTATCAATCACTGTGAGCACATCTAGCGCTACATTTTCTTACGGGTTGGAGAAGATACTAAGAGGCATATATGAGCAGTAGCAGTGGAAGAACAACAAATGCAGTCATGGCTGTAGCATTCAATGAGAACAAGCACCATGTGTACCATCCTCTCATGGCTACATGGTGCCTGAAACTCACAGCCCAGCAGCAGAGAGAGGCCGGAAGCCACGGAGGGAATTAAAAAGGGAATTGTTGAATGCAGCCTTAGTGAATACAGTTAATTAGACTGTACACTGACTAGCCCTCCGTATTTGTAGAACTGAATGCCTGCAGTGTTTAAAGACCACCTGAACTTAGAGTGAAGCCACATTAGTAGCATGTTTTGAGTTGATTTTTGATGCAGCACAATGTTTCCATAACATGAGCATTCATTAGCAAGGTCTCTTTCAGCTTCCAAACTTCTCCGTTATCTGGGACCTCAACCTGGCTGCAGGAGTTTATCCTGCAGCAGCTCATTCACAGCTTGCAGGTCTGACCAAGATGAGGTGTAGTTGCAAGGTTTCCAGGTAAAAATCTCATTAAAAATCAAGGTCATTCTATGCACGTGCTGGATCCTCCCATTTCTCTCTTTGGAATTATTCCTGACCTTTAGCTTAGCCACCCCTTCCCAAGCAGGCAGAAAACAGCCCGATGGCCCACAGTGTGTTACTTTCACTAGCTTAGCACTAAGTGTCAAATGCCACTGTGTTTATTGAACATGAGAACAGTAATTTTTACAAAGACTGAAGAAAACAACTTTGGTACATGAGAGGAGATAGTTTAATGGGAGGTTCTACCTCCCTTTTTAATTTTACAGCTCTTTGTAAGCAAGAACAGTTGGTTTATAAAATGTTCAGTCAAAATCCTTCAGATGACTGCTGTGTCAGCTCTAAATAATCCAGCATGTAGCATCCTTAATGAAGTCACTGGAGTTTTCAGATGTTTCTAATCAGAAAATACATGTTTTATCTCTGGACTTCACTGACACTAAATATTCCAAGCAGTGCCACTTCTATGAACTAATGCATCCACCTTCTTTTCTTTTCTTCCCCTCCAGAAGATCTTCATGGGGTTCCCAAGTGTATGTTCATTTCCTCTTCTGACTAACCTGTGTGAGAAGATTAAATAGTACGTATCAAGTTTTCAATCCTTAAACAGAAACAGAATATGGTACATTTGTTTATTTCAAAAATCATCCTCACCTAACAAAGCTTCCTATACTTTACTTCTGTTGGTTTCCTTCATAAAACTGTCCAGGTAGCATAGAGCTAGGTTGCACAGAGTTGAGGTGAGTAAGATTTCTCAGAGGGATCCCTGTGCTTTTTCAATACTTAAAATATTTGTGTAATTTTAGCAAGTCAAATACATGGCACACACCAAGATAGGACACCTCCAAGGAGAAGCTTATTTTGCCCTGAGGTTTCCTGACTCCAAGAGACTTCTCTGTTTCATTTGTTTACCCAGTCACGGTGCCTATGGCTTAGTAGGGGAAAGTCACCAGCACCTACATAACTTTGTGAGGAACATGAATGAAGTGGCAGTTGCAAAGTGTACGAGAATCCCAAGGTATTTAAGCAAGCCCAGTGGATGGCAAGCAGGAAAAACAACTTAAAGCAGTGCTGACATTGATTCAGTTTCTAAGAATGGCTGAGGGCAGCAGCCAGGCTACTATTCCTAAAGCATAATTATCAATGTACTCCAATAAGTTGCAGCAGGATTCCAGCAAATCAAAGAATAAATCTGTATTATCAGCAATATATTTTAACTGATTTAACTGTCAAGATTAACTTGCTCATCTATGTCTGCTCATTTAATTGAAACTTCAGACATCAGGAATTTATTGAGAATTAATTGATTGACATGAAACATTTCCTAAGTACTTCTGAAATGTGGGTCAGGACAAGTAATCAGTTTGAGCCCTGTGAGTTCTGACAGTGGAAGCAGGAATCAAATTGTGTATCATATGTTGGATCGACTGTGTTCACGTCCTCTTTCTCTCACACACTCTCTCTCAAGCTTTTTCTCCTTTCTGTAGCTACAAAAAACATGTTTGGCAATTGGACTTTTTTAGCTGGTCTGGATCTGTGCCAGTTCCTTGCAACTGAACCTTACTGCAGAGAAGAAGTAGCCCAAAGCAATTACTGATCACAGACAGACTAAGAGTTACAAGTCTCACCAGGAGTGCATGTCACCTGTCCCCTCTGAATTTTTTCTTATCCTGATGCTCATGAACTCTGAGGAATCCACTGTCATTGCACCCATTTACTCTCTGAGCCAGGTTCAACATCTCATATGAGTCCAAGAGGCTTGGAAGAATTCAGAAAGAAAACTTTCCAAGGAAAAAGTGATTAGCATATAATTCAGAGTGCTGCCTCCTGGGTCAAATATGAAAAGCTGCTCAATGTAGGTGAGCTGAGTTGTAGCCCAGAGCCAAAGGGATGTGCCATGCTTGGGCAGTACTATGTGAGAGCTAGCATGTGTCCAGGCTAAAAAGAAAGGGACACAGAACTGACACTACCATTGCAACACCTACTTCATGTACTGCTAAAACATTTAGGTTTGCTGGAACAAAAGTCACAATGGAGGGGGGACAAAAAAGAAAAAGTAATTTTAAAAGGTTAATGTAATTAAGCTCTGTGGGGAGACCATTGAGGAGCGAGGTCTCTTGCTCTAATCAGGGTTAAATGAAAATACTTTTCTTGAAGGTGTTAGAGCATGGTCAGAAGTTTGTGGGACTAGATTCAGAAATTGCAAGATGAGGCTCTGATCCTCAGGTAAAACATAAGGCCAGGTTTTTTGTGTGTAGCTGCAGCCTGGTATGCAAACTTCATGTCTTCTAGACTGAACACAATGAGAGCGAGAGACTGTAAAGGCTTCAGGGATGATTATCAGAAAGGGTATTTGCCATTTGTTTGTAAAAAAAGACAGAAGTTTAGTCTCCATCACCACAAGGTCCCATTCTGCACCTCTCTCTCAGGTAGAAGTACTTCTGCCAGGCCGAGTGTAGTATTTATTTCAAAAAATTACAGTTACTTTTACTAATTATAGTTATCATAGACTTGATGTCCTTGTGTTTTTTAGAAACTTAGTGTTGTGGCAGCCACACACAAGTCCATCAACCTCACCTCCACAGCTCAGTCAGCAGATATTGAAAGAAATTCAGTTTTGCTCCTTTGGACAGAATCATTTTGCTGAAGTACAAGTATGAAGTTAAAACTGAATATGGAGCTGCAAATGACATGCTAGCTAGTCTGTACACTTTCCCATGTTTTTTTCTTGCTAAATAAGTTCCCTTCCATATGCTAACGTTGCATTTGTTGTTTTTGTTTTTTAGTGTCATAAGAAATAAACTGCCTTTTGAAGATTTTGATGGAGATAAATTTAGTACTTTCCCGGTAAGCAAAGGCTTTCCTTTGGTACAGTAATCCCTTGATAATGAGAATGTCTATGAGATTCCTCCTACTTTTTGCAAAGCCTTATTCATTCATGTGAAAATAGATATAGGAGTGAAGTCAATAGAGAGCTTTTTTGTCATAACAGGAGCTTTTTTTCTACTTGAAAAACAATCATTCATTTATGCCACCTGGGGACATGCACACATAAAGCTGTGCTCCCTGCTCCCTGCAGAAGCAAATTGCTCTGCTGCTGAGTGGTCTGTTTACTGAATTAATAAGAGGTGAAGTAAAGTCATATAAAAAAACCAAATTAAATTGCCAGCTTGTCTTATTTCTGCACCAAAGTGTGCAAGGGGCCATTTATTAAAGCTTAGTAAAGGGACTCAGGGATACAACCCCTTTACTGGGTTTTATTCCTGCACCTTGAGTTAGATTCTCATTTTAGATATTTTAAATTAAAAGTGCAGGAGTAACAATGAGCACCCTGTCTGTGTGCTTTGGGCTTTCAGACATTGAGGGGCTATCACTGGCGAGGCAGAGACTGCAATGACAAAAACACCACCGTGTACCCTGGCAGACGGTAAAACTTTTCATTATTTTAAAGACTTCCTGCTAATTGTGGTTCCATGAGTGAGCTCCATATTAGGCTTTGGCCATACTCTAAGAGAATACAGCCTTTCTCATTGCTTGATTTTGCTGTGATGGAGATAAGAGGGGATGGTCAAGACCGGGGATGGGGTGCGTTGGCCTGAGGGGCGGTTCACAGGTTTCTGTCCCTTTCTCTAGTGTCTGCAGCCAAAACTGGTCAGGGACTGAAGGTGGGAAGGAGAACCAAGCCACTGTGGTTTAACAGCCTTCTGCCACTTGAGCTAATGTGGGCTGTGCCTACTCTGTGCTTGTGGCTGGCTGCTGAGCTCCAGCATTCATTCCTTGTGTTATGAACTACAGAGCCAAATATGTGCTAAATATTAGTATCCTCTAGGAGAATACCTCCCAGCTGCCTGAGCATGAACTTCCATGCATGCCTGAAACAGAGAGCTTGGAGAAAAACCAGCACGGGGCCACTAATGATTAAGGGATTGGTGCATGTACCATATGAAGAAAGGGCAGGAGAGCTGGGTCTGTTTAGCCTAAAGAAACGGAGGCTGAGGGAGGATCTCATTAATGCTTATAAATATCTAAAGGGTGGGTGTCAGGAGGATGGGCCCCAACTCTTCTCAGTGGTGTCCAGTGACAGAACAAGGGACAGTGGTCATGAACTGGTAAACAGGAGGTTTAACCTAAATATAAGACAAAAACCTTTTTACTCTGAGGGTAACAGAGCACTGGAACAGGCTGCCCAGGGCAGTTGTGAAGTCTCTGTACCTGGAGACACTCAAAACCTGCCTGGATGTTTTCCTGTGTGATCTGCTGTATGGGATTCTGCTCTAGCAGGGAGGTTGGACTAGATGATCTACAGAGGTCCTTTCCAACCCCCACCACTCTGTGATTCTGTAACAGGGTGGCTTTGAACAAGGTCCCCTGCTTTTGCTATTTTACTCTGTGCTCAAAATACTCTTTCAAAAATGGAGGTCTCCTCTGTCAAGGGTTTGTTAGGAAGAGTTTGATCAGGACTGTTTTTAAAGCCTAGACATAAACTGGGTTGTGACCAGATAAGCTGAGTTTAAGGGTGTGGGCTTGGAAGAATGGTGTGCCATCAGCCTGGACAGCACACCTGCATTAGCAGAAGTGGGACTGCAGAATCCGTGTGTAGTCCCAGACTGAAGAGTTGGAGTCTCCCTGTAAAAGAGGCCTGAGCTCATTACATTGTGTTACAGGCCAGAGCAAATCTTTGTTACCCTGCACTGAATTTGGTGTGAGTGACTTGGTGGATTTTAGAGAACACTTAAAAGCAAGGAAAAGGGCAAAGGAAAAGGATCTGTCTTCTGCAAAAAAAATCATTCCTATTCACTTGTCCTAAGTGAATATGCAAACTAAAATGGTAAATTTCATTCAGCAACTTTCAATATTAACTTTAAACTAATACTGTGTTTTGCTAGGAAAAAAAAAATCACCTCTGCTAGATTCAAAATGGGGGAAAAAAAAACACCCTTCTGTGCAGAAAAGAGTTTCTAATTATTTTATATTCCTAGTGAAAAGTGACAACAAGGATTTGATTTCCTCAAAATCCCCTTTTGCTTTATTTTCTGTAACACTTTCTATCCTTTTGCAGTCCTGTTAACTGGGATGCAAAAAGTGACTCTAACTGCAATGGCATATGGGTAAGTAAATGAAGTTAGATCTTACACTTTCTTCCTGGTTGCAGCTTCTCTTTTATTTCCTCCTTTTAAATTATTCTGCAAATATTAATTTTTCATGTATTCTGGTTTATTAACTGATTTGGATTACTCCTATTTATTTAGTACTTTTGATATTCCCAGTAATATACCTGTATTTATTAAAAACCAAGGAAACATAGGGGAAGAAGTTATGAGCAAAGTTTATTTACTGATGCTTATGATTATTTAAATTATAGCTATTATAATTAATTTAAATGTACATGCACTTACTAAAATAATGTAATGGAAAACATCATTATCATGATGCAGTGCTTTCTGCAGCAAACGTTCAAGACCAGCTGAATCCTCAGCCTCTGTTTTGCACTGCCATTTTTCAGGCCCGACACAGATACTCTCATCTGCCCTTTTTCTCCTTCAACAGGGTGTGGATCCAAAAGATGGAATTCCCTATGAGGAGAAATTCTGCAAAGGTAAATCTTTACAGTCAGTGCAAAAAACAATATTTTTTTATATTCTTTTCATAAATATTTTAGTATTTTCATGGTCATTGCCAATGGAGGGGAAAGACAACAAGTTGTACAACTTCATGAGAAAGGCAAAATGGCAAAATAATTAATTATTTTATTTTTTAATCTGGAGGATGGGCAAAGATGAAACATCAAAAGCACAAACTGCTGGTAATTTCCTGTTAAAAGCTAGCTCAGTTATTAAGTTGAAATACACAGATCAGGGACACCAACAACTGGAGGTATCATCTCTGCATCTTCTGTGGTCCCTGAAGCCTAACCCAGAGAACTCAGGATAGCAGTTTAATCCCCGTGTGTGTCCATTTGTTGTAAATGGCAGCAATTGTGCCAGCAGTGATGCTGATACTTTTCCAAGGAAGGCCTTAAAAGGTGAAGTGATACCATTGCCTGATCTCCCTGGCAGTCATGTGGGTGCAGGAAGGGTGGTCTTGATGATCAGGTTGTGAGGTGGATCATGAGCTGGTTGAAAGGAAGAAGTCAGACAGTTGTGGTCAATGGAACAGAATCTAGCTGGAGGTCTGTGACTAGTGGAGTCCCTCAGGGGACCAGTACAGGGACCAGTGTTGATCAATGTTTTCATCAATGACCTGGATGAGGGAACAGAGTGTTCCCTCAGCAAGTTTGCTGATGACACTAAACTGGGAGGAGTGGCTGACACACCAGAAGGCTGTGCTGCCATTCAGTGAGACCTGGACAGGCTGGAGAGCTGGGCAGGGAGAAACCTGATGAAGTTCAACAAGGGGAAGTGTAAAGTCTTGCATCTGGGGAAGAACAACCTCATGTACCAGTACAGGTTGGGGGCTGATCTGCTGGAGAGCAGTGTAGGAGAAAGGGACCTGGGGGTCCTGGTAGACAGGAGGATGACCATGAGCAGCAATGTATCCTTGTGGCCAAGAAGGCCAATGGCATCCTGGGGTGCATTAGAAAGGGTGCGGTTATTCCGTCAAGAGAGGTTCTCCTCCCCCTCTATTCTGCATTGGTGAGGCCACATCTGGAATATTGTGTCCAGTGCTGGGCCCCTCAGTTCAAGAAGGACAGGGAACTGCTTGAAAGAGTCCAGCACAGAGCTACAAAGATGATTAAGGGAGTGGAACATCTCCCTTATGAGAGGCTGAGGGAGCTGGGTCTTTTTAGCTTGGAGGACACTGAGGGGTGTCCTCATCAAAGTTTACAAATATGTTAAGGGCAAGTGACAGGAGGATAGAGCCAGGCTTTTTTCAGTGATGTCCAGTGATAGGACAAGGGGCAATGGGTGCAAACTGGAACATAGTAGGTTCCACGTAAACATCAGAAAAAACTTCTTTACTGTGACAGTGACACTGGAACAGGCTGCCCAGGGAGGTTGTGGAGTCTCCTTTGCTGGAGACATTCAAAACCCACCTGGCCACGTTCCTGTGTGATGTGCTCTGGGTGACCCTGCTCTGGCAAGGGGGTTGGACTGGATGATCTTTCAAGGTCCCTTCCAACCCCTAAGATTCTGTGATTCCATGATTCTGTGCCTGCATATACACATATGTACAAATAACACCCCCGTTACATAGCCATGGCTACAGTTGCCGCTCACCTTGCTTACATTTAAATCAGCATCCTGGGGATGAACCATTGCCTGGTGAGACATTTTTTAGATGAAAGGCAATCTACAAATGCTAACATTGATTATAAACCAGCCAGATTGTTCTAGCAGAAATACTCATATTAATAGCATATCCGCCACCCAATTCTGTTATAAGGAGCTCTGAGCAATTTCCTGAGTAATCCAATTTCCCATAATGTTTAAATACATTTTAATACATATTCTATGGGTAGTAAAAATAAATGTCAGCTGCACAACAGAGCCTTTCCTGAAACAACGCATCCATCCTTGAATGCAGCTGGGACTTTTTCTGATTAGCAAGACCTCTCCCTGTTTTTCATGCCTGTTAGTCAGGTTTTGCTGCAGACAGAGCTAAATCCCCATTGCAGGGTCTGAGCATTTCAGCCACGTGCTGAAAAAGGGTGGTGTAGCCAGTCACCCCCTGACTACACCAGCTGCCATTGCTGTTGCTCTTCAAGCGTTGCTCTCCACCCTCTGTTTTGGTTTGCTCTTTGTGACTAATAAAATGTGTTCACTAGGTGCAGACTCACAAGGGGTTGTTCTGTTGGGAGACTCGGCTGGCGCTCACTTCCACATCCCTCCCGAGTGGATGACTGTCACACAGATGTCAGCGGTGAGGAATCATGTTTGAGTTGCCAAAATCACTCTGCTGTGGGTTGCTAGTTGCTTTCTCCCCTCTGCCACATCTTGCCAAATGGGAACAAGTGCATGATGCCTCGTGGCACTGGAATTTATAGTCATGGTCTCATGTGTGTGTCCATGCTCTCTCACAGCTTCTCTTCTGAAGATAAAAAAGCAAAGCCTGGTGCTACTGCTCCTCCAACATCTGTGCACTTGGGTCAGGGAAGAGTTTGGCTTCAGTGGCTCCGTGCTGTGCTAGAGACACAAACCAGGACATCTGGCTTTCCACACATGTGGCCACAGCCTGAGGAGTCATGTGTTGTCTGTGGGATCAGTTCTGTCATGAGCAGGCTTGTTGGTATGGCTCCTTGCTGTGCAAGTGTTTCAGAAGTGACCCTGCTGACAGTCCAGGAGGTTCTAGTTTAGGTATCTGACTTTGAAATTATGTGTCCTGGATTGTTTTACATCATCAGTGGCATATGGAAAATAGATCTAGTGTCTCCAGTGTGGAGGCTTTGAGGTTTGTTGCACAAATACATCTGCAGGGCATCCAAAAGGAAAGAGTTTTGGTAGTGACCATAAAATATCACTACCATACTGGTGTCTATCTTTGGGCAATATCCCAGCATTTCCCATTTTCAAACAACAAAATGTGCCTGACTCTGAATTATGCTGAGCCTCAGCTGTTGCAGTTCACTGGCGTGGAATGAAATAATTGAGAGGAAAAGATCATTCCAGCAAATTGCAGTTGGAGAATGGAGGTAAACACACAGGTGTGCTCCTGCCCTTTGCTGTTGTTTCCTATCCCAAGCCAGGGTCAGTCCGTAGCCAGGGAGTACTGTGCATTGTCCTTCTTTGCTCAAGGGTCTGTTGCACATGGGTGAGCAGAGAGATCATTGCTCTCCACCTTTCCTGGTGAAAACCTGCTACTTCCTCACTGGCCTCTGTGAAAGAGGATATGGACATTTTTCTGGAGAACAATACTGATTCCAAATTGTCAGTAGTTACAGGGCTGTTGGAGGTCTGAGAGTTTAATGCAGTTTCCCATTTTTGCTCCAAGAGCTGAGCTGATTAAAATGTTGCAGATTAGCCATTGTTTTTCTTTGTTAAAGGTTTATGAGCAACAATTAGATGAATGACACTGATGACAGAGCTGATGATGAGCATAATAAATTAGCACTAATGATAGTTGAGATTATCTTGTCTAATAAAGATGGTAATAATACTGATGGTGATGATGATTCTGGTAGCACATCCATGGAGGCAAGAATAGTTTTAGACTGTGTCAGCATTTTATTATCACTATGATGAAGGTTTAGAAAGAGTTTCTCTTGCTTGAAGCTCACTGGTCCATTAGTTGGATAGATCATGGGCTTGTAATGGTGAGCAGAGGTAGAAGCTTCAAGGTCAGGAGCTGGAGTGGAGGTTATGAGGTGAATTTTGATGGCACCTTGTTACTGTCTGATAGGTAGAAAGCAACTTGCATGGGAATGGAACTGGTGCTCTCTAAGCAAGTGAGACCCAGTAATTATATTCTCTAAGTACTCATCTTCATCTGTGCAGCATGTGGTGAAGATCAAGGGCTTGTTGGAAGTGAGCTTCTTTACTTTACAAAACAAGGTGACTCCAGGTTAGAACTAGTGCCCTGAACTGGGGCAAGGAGGACAAAGAGAGATGTCTTCACTCTCTGGCCTTCTGTAGTCACTCCACTCACAGTGTATAAAATAAAAAAATAAATAAATACATGACTGGTATTGGAGAAGCTAAATACAATGCATGAGTAAGTAAAAAAGAAGCCTGGAATTCACACGCAGCATTAGAGCCACTGCAGGTCAGTACCAGGAGAGACATCTCTTGTGCAGCAGTACAAGACAGCAGGGCTGGGATCTGTTCTGAGTCCAGTAAGAAAGGGATGCATTGAGACAGTGTTTAAAATACCACTTGTTAGAGCTAGCAGAAGAAGGTATAAGAGGATAGGATAGATAACCTTGTGTCCCTTCAGACACTGGGTGCCCTGAGCTGGGCAGCAACAGAAAGACCTCTGACAGGGTTATGGCGCACCATACATATCTGACCCATGGAGGAGGTTCTTCAGCTCTCTGGTCTTTAGAGGTTTTGTAGCATTTTTCTTGGAAGAAAACAACTTCATTCATAGTTTCTACTTTAAGGTAAAAAGGATGTTCATGTGAGAACTTTTTGCTGCATGTGTAGGTAAAGGCAAGGTCAGATAGGTGATATAACTGCTGGTACTGAAGGCAAGCTGCCCACAGACTCTTCCATTGCAGTTAGGACACTGCCTGGTGTGTGATGCTGCAGGTGCATGAGCATGCCTCTTCCACCAGAGGAGGTCAGGCAATGGGGCAGCATTTCACAGCTAGAAAATAAAACCAAGTGGTGGGGTGCAAATGAGGCAAATCTGGCTGTGAACCTTTGCAAGGAGAACTTCTTGTCAGGAAAGCACACCTAGCCTAGCTCTGGGCTTTGGCAGCAGTCACCTACCTAAGGACCTGGTTGTCTGGATGATGACCATGGCTCAGACCGTGGCCTCACTACCAAGGCTGCTGCACTGGCTCCACACATTTGGCTGCTTCTATCTGTCTGAACCATTCACTGGGTGATCTTGTGTGAGAGTCTTAGTTATACTTGCAAGATCTTCTACCAGGCTAGCCTCCTAAAAGCTGGTCCATGCTTGTTTACATTCAGAAGGCCAGGTTCCTTTTGCCTCCACCTGGGTCATTAATTGATTGTACTGGTGCAAAGGCCATATAAAATTATGGCATTCTGGTCTGGCAGCTTTTCAGGATATATTAATAATGCAGAGGAACCTGAAAAAGTTGATTATAGCTACCCAGGACAGAGCAGGGCTGGGCTATTTACTGTGCAGGACTTGCAGTCTGAGCTCCATGGTAGTGCAGTTCACAGCTACCCAAGTGTCTATGTGAGATTCATGAGATAGGAAAACACAGGTTCATTTCTAGGATTATCTGCAAGCTTTCCTACCAACCTGGCAAAAGTTCAGCAGCTAAATATTAATGCAGAGATACAGAGAGTTCAGTCATTTAAAAAGCTAGTATTTTGTGTTTAAATTCTAGCAATAGTAAAAAGTTATTTAACTTGCAGCTCACCTTAAGTAAGAGAGCTGTCACCTGAGCATAAAAGTGCTAACAAAAAAAAATAAAATCTGATCTAATTCAGACTTTGTCACTGCCTCTTCTGCTTGCTTGTCCTCTGTGTCTTGCTTTCTGTGTGTAGATTGGTAGTGACAATGATTCAGCTGCCTTGGGGTTGTGAAGGTGCAACACTCTTGTCTCTTGATGTGTAGTATTAAATATCACTGGCAAATGATCTTCATCTCTACGTTTAATTAACAAATTAACTGTCTTCCATCCTTTTGCAGTGTGAGGCTTTCTTTGAGGAGAATTTCTGAGCAGATGTAGGGGCAGTTTTGTGATCAGAGTGAGGAGAGTGTATGTCCTAATCTTACAGAAAACATCCTTAGTTTGGGACCACAGTAAGAATTTGAAGTTAGGGCTCTGAGGGGAGGATAACCCATTAGCCTCATACACCTGCTGTTCCCCATGTTATCAAACTCAAGATATTTCACTTTGATTCTGCCAAAATTTCTTTGATAAGACACATAGAAAAATTAGTTTATCAAACAGTTTTCTCCACAGTCAATAATAGAGTCAACTAAAAAGTTTAATTTCCATTTCAATGGAATCTCACTCTACATGGAAATTGACTTTTCCCCTCTCCCCTGGATTTTTATGGTGTAGAAGAGTTAAGTTATTTGCCTTTGAATTAATATTTATTAAATATTTTTTTCTTTAGTGCTTTTCTACATTTTTACGTATCTATTTATAGAATTTGTATTTATCCTTATACATGTTCACACATACACATATTTACATACACAGGTGTAAAGAAATTTACACTTGTTAACAATTTGTTGGCCTCTTCTGTTAATCAGCACCACATCAGTGGCAGCTGTTAATTCCTGTTAATTCCTGCTCATTAGATGGGGAAGTAATTTTCCAGGAGAGTTGCTGAGAATTTAGTCAAGAGGGTCTGCAGAATAGTTGCTTTCCCCGATTGTGCTGCACACAGTGTACAATGTAAAGGAGCAGTAACAATGAGTGAAGGAAGAGAAGGTGAATGAGAAATTTCCTCACTGAAGCAGTCTCAGGATGTAACCAGGGTAACCAGATGATCAACACGAGGGTGAATGGAATGGGTGTTTGGGCTGAACAACTTTGGAATTCAGATCCCTGTTCCGTTGTATCTAAGACTGTTGTTGGGAAGCTGTTATATGCTGGATTTTGGATTTCCTTGTCTAACTGGGAACTTACTGCCCTGGCCTCTCACAAAATACCCTTGTGTCTAATCCAGTACAGGGTGACGTGCCCCTGTCATACATCCCATGTCAAGGTATGCATCAAGCTGCATCATTCACTTGTCCCATATCAAGTCCCCCAGTGCCTTCCTGGTCTTCCTCGTTTCTTAAACTTAAGTGACCAAATACAGAGACCTCAATCACGTTCGTGCATTGTCCAGGAGGCTGTTCTGTGGGAGTGAACACACAAGCAGATGAACGTCAGCTTGCATGCACTGACACAGCTGCAGGCACTCTATGCCCATTTGGTCTGGCACCAAGCTTTAGATGTGCACTGTGTTAGAGTAGGGACTCATGTTTTCAAGTGCTGTTTCCAAAGCCTTTATCCACTCACAAATACAGTTGTCACCCCTCTTACAGACTATGTTCTTCCCATGTACAGTGCGTACGTGACACTACTTGGTGTGAAAAATTACCATCACGAGGTGGACACATCTTTGAAAGCTATAGCTCAGGCATGTTCTTTTTCCAGTTAACAAAAAAACCCAAACAACAAAAAAAACCAGCCCACTCTATGTAGCACTAGGGGAAGTCACAGGTACCTTGATTTTGAACACTCAATATAAAATTACAGGTAGAAAATTATACAGCTGTAAGAAGGGGATGAGGCACTTTATTTTGGCTTTCTGCTTGTCGAAAGGTTTTGGGTTTGCCAGGCTTTTTTAATTTTAAAATGTTCAGCAAAATTTAGCTGAATGTTCATTCCTTTGACCTGAAAATTCAGACACTAAAAGGGAAGTGTAATGCAGTAGACGAGCACTTGGTGAGATTTAGAAAAGTAGAAGAAATACTGAGGTTTGGGGTTTTTTTGAGGGGGGTGGTTTTTGCAGAAAGCTAATGTTGAAAACATTGGTGTGTCTAGTGATGGATATTGTGCTCCTGCTGTTCTGTCCATCTGCTTACAATTTACTTCCAAATAGCTACTAAATGCAGCATTTTTCTGTTGTATGTCTGGGAGAGAAGCTTACTTTAAAATCTCATTTTAGAGACAATTTTATCCAGAGATAGAAGCACTGTATTTATAAATGTGCTGGAAATTATACCCTTTCTAGGAAGATGCCTTTTAAACCTCTTGGATCTCTATTTCATGCTGAATAAAGAGAAAAATAACTGTAATCCAGTAAATACCTATTTGCCCACAAACTCATGGAGTTCTCAGGTTTCATTAAAGAGCTCTTTCATACTATACATTTCCTATTAAAATAATTCAACATTTATTTAAATGTGGGTTGAGAATATCCCAAACAATTATCCCACTGATTTCTTTTTGTTCCACCACCAGAAAAAACAGGAGTTTGATCTATGAAGATCTTATTAAAAACATTCTCTATCTTCCCTCTACATCCAGTGAGTTGCAGGCAAGTTTCTCCCAGCTAGTATTGTGATGACTAAGACTCTACATTTGGGGGGAAATAAGGTAATAATGTTGCTAATTTTGAAAATATGTCCCCTGCAGCTTTGAAGAGTAGAAATGCCATACATGCTTTTTAAAGAGATAGGCTGTGCTTTCCTCAAGAGCAATAAGGCTTCCTTTTTCAGTCAGAATAAGTAAATGGGTCTGTGATACTTGGTGCTGGCACATAGGGATACTTTACTGCTTTTAGGATTTCTGCAACTGCTATTTCTAAAGGCTAATGTGAGTGTTAGGTTTCCAATGCCCTTTTATGTCCTGATTTTGAAAATCTCCTGCTATAGCAGTCCAGCACCTTCTTCCATTTAAGCTAACTTGGTTCAGTGCAGCTTGGTGTGTTTATTTAACATCAGCCATGGCTTTGGCTGCCCAGTGCAAAAGAAGTGGGAGATTTGGGAAGATGTATTTCAAGGTAGGGCACATGTAAATGTTAAGGGTGTTCCCTTGAAATTAGACAGACCTAGAGCATTTGAGGCTAAAATGCAGCATTTGGAGCTAGGCTGGAATAACTTTCTAATAATTCTATGCTAAAATCTGGCACGTAGGCTGAAGCACGGTTTCTCAGCCAGAATAGTCTAGAGAATGGTATTTAAACAAAGCTGTGTTTAGTTTTAAGCTAAAAGTCAACATAGAACCACCTCTAGAGTGGGACACATTTGCATCCGAGATTAAGCGACATGCAGTCTGTTAGACCATGCTTTCCAGACTACATCCCTGCAGCATTCAAGGTCTAGCATTCATCTGAAATTTCCATTGACTACTCATCTTCACCCTTTGGTCTTGAATATCTTCAAAGTCTGGCTTTAAGTGCTTTCCTGGAACAGTGTCAATACTAAACATGTATACAGTTTTCAAATGCAACTGTAATTCTGGGCTCACATGTTCCTTTCCAAACCAATTTGCAACTCAATTAGGTTCTGGCTAATTCATATTTAAGCTAAGGAGGGAAAAAACCAAGCCAAACAAACAGCTAAAAATTATTGGAACTTGTCAAATGAAATATTATTTTGGAGTGCTAATGGGAAATAATTACAGAATTGGTCATAGAACAATTTGTTATAAAAATATTTTCTGACTTCGGGGCTCTTTTTATACTCTTTTATCTTGTGACTTATAAGAGATCTCCTATATAGTTTGTTGTATGCTAAATTATTATTTCAATAGTTCTGTCTCCTTTCATGCAAAGTGACAAGGAGGCAAATATTGCAAATGGCTGAGCCATACTGTACTCCTCCACTTCTGCTCTTAGCTGTGTCCTTGGATTAAGTGTCTGTTTGCACACAAAACTATCAGATCTGAAAAAGGCAGATTTGGAAGTTCTCTCCAGTCTTAAAGAAAAATAAAAAAATTAAAAAGGATATATACACAGATAGATACGTGTATATATATATATATATACAGATACACACAAGGACACACACACACAGATGGATATCAATTATATGGATATGGATACAGATATAGAGATATAGATAGATATTGATGTAGGTAGTTGCAGATATATAGATTAATATAGATAGAGATAAAATTAGAGATAGATAGATAGATATAGATATAGATATAGATATAGATATAGATATAGATATAGATATATAGATGAGACAGAATCAATGGAAAGTTAATTAAGCCAGACCCATTTTCATCTTGGTAACTAATGCAGATCTACTGTAAGTAGGTCAAATATGCTGTTACATGCTTTAAACTGGCATCTGCTGTGCATTAGGCTGCTCAGAGCTTGGCTTCAGGGTTTTTTTCTCCCCCAACCCCCTTTTCTCTCCTCCCCTTCCCCCATGTCTCCCTCCATCCTCTAAAAATTGTAGTCATATATGCAAACATAGCTCCCATTCACCTAAACAATAATTTTGTGGGAGTGAGGACTTGATGGGGACTACAAGTATTGTCTCTTCTGTGGCTCCTCAGTTACCTCTGACCCTCCTGGAGAAAGAATTACTCACCTGCTTAATGTCTACAGCAGTGAGGATAAAAAAACCTCACTATTACTTGAAAAGAAAATGAAGCTAATAAATTGCACAAATTAAACCAGCCTGTGAGTTCTGTGATTTTGTGTTTTGACCTTCTTTTGGTTATTACCTTTTTCATCAATAGTTTTTCATTATGAGCACACTGGATTTATGCATTTGTCTTTGTGAACATACGCCAGACTAAGAGAGGCTGCAAATTTGCTCCTTTTTGTCGTCCTTCTGAGGCGATGCAATTTCACGAGTCCTTTTTTTTTTCCTCGCCTTTCATGATTTTTGACACATTCACAAATCAAAGTAGAAACAAACAGGGCACTGTGTTTTGAACGTGCAACATGGCTTGCACCTGCATAGAGGCTTTCAAAGAGGCAGTCGCTTTATAAAATAAAATAGTAACTATAAGGGACTAATACCAGAAAAAGCATTAAAGGGTAAAGGTTGCATCTATTTGCATGAGAAGGTTACAGCAGCGTGTGCATTTTTCTCCCTGGTTACCATTGTGCTTAGGTGCCTTTCTGACTCTGTTGCTTCAGTGATGACACTGCAATTTGCAGTGAGGACCAGGCAGAGGTTCTTAGGGGGTCAGCTGCTCACAGTTCATCCTGCTGGAGAGGACAGGAAAGCTCCAAGTGCATTTTACATTATTCCTCTATCATATATACTGAGGTCATTATATTGTCATCTGTCCCAGTGCCCAAGGAGACTCACCTTTAGACAGGACAGCAGTGAACAACTACTGCCTTAGTGGTGTGCATCTGCAATACATGCTCCACCTCAGGAGGAGTTCTGGGCTCTTCCAGAATTACAGAGCACCAGGAGATGCAGTTCAGATCTTTTCTACTCTTCCTTCCTCCATTTCTTCATGTGTCCATGTTACGAGAGTCAACTTTTTAAGTATATGGGTAAATAATTATCACTACAGTTATAGTTACAATTGCTGGTGCCTGGCTAATGCTTCAGCTAAGAAGTGCTCGAGTTTGCTGAAAGGATTTCTTTGTTTGTGAGGGTGAAACTGTGTTGATTTAAAAATGTCTCTTTCAGAAATCATTTGCTAATCTCCCAATGGCTTTCACCGATGAGCTTGACTGGCCCCAGTTCTCAGAGATCACTGGATTTTTGAACTCCACCATCGGGTAAGGCAACAGCCAGAGTAGCTGAGTCGTAGCAAGTCTCAAGGTCCCTCAAAACACAGCAAGAAAAAAGAAAAAACAGTACTTGAAAGGAAAGATAAAAATGTTATTCAGTTCTGCTTCTGCTCTTTCTAAAATCAAGATTGACAATGAATCTAGGGATTTTTAAAACCCTTTTAAATATATGGCCAAGGCACAATCCTCTATCCCAGTCATCCTGAAATTCAGGGTAGGTTTTAGAGCTGATCAAATTGTAATTTAGATGGAAAAAAAAATGTGGAAATAAAAACCAAACTCACTTTTATGCAAAATTCTGGGGCAGGGAGGAGGGGAGCATTGCTGAAACTAACAAAAATCAGCATTTTCCTTTTCTTAGTTTGTTTTTCTCTGTCCCTCTTCCTCCTGTTTCCTTTTTGCTGCTAAAATAGTGGGATAAATGGTAATCCTGGAGTTATTTCACAGTGTTCCCTTTTTTGGCACAATATTCCCTCCCCCCCCCCTTTTTTTTTTTTTTTTTCTTTAGGGGGAAGGGG